ATTTTTTTCATCAACATTAAGAAAAAAAAACATCTTTAAAACGTATAATACAAAATTTTTTGAAAGGACTTAATTTTAAAAAGAGTTCTTGCTAATTGACCCTTTTTACATATTCGGCACGACCAAAAATATATATATATAATAAAAATATAATAAAATATATAATAATATATATATAATTATAAATTTTAAAATATATATACAATATATATACAAATATATAACTTATATAATATATATTATATATTAAAAAAAAATTTATATTTTTTATATATATTAAGTATTAAAAATGTGTGGTGTGTGTGTAATGTTTTATAAAGGGGCCCAAATATATCATATCACTTTTTAGTTTGACTACACTGGAGAAAAGGAGAGGGAACAAGGAGAATAGAAGCATCAGGGGAAAAGAGAGGTGAAGGTTTTAAAACAAAAAAGGGGCAGTTAGGGGAAGATAAAAAAACTATTGGGGGATGATGGGTAAAGAGAGGAAGGGAATGGGGGGCGAAGGGATGGGGTGGTTTAAAATGTAGTGTAGAGTGTTCAGCAGAAGTTTGTGGTTACAGGGAAAGTGGGTGCGGGAGGGAGGAGGGCGATTGGTGGGGAAAGATGATGTGAAGAGATAGTAAGGGGAGAAAAAAATTAGCATAAGAAATTTTTAAAAGTGAATGATGCAAGGAGGGAAAAGTATATGGAGAAAAAGAAAGGTTAAGAGAGTGGGGAAGCAATGTAAAAGAGAGCAAAGGGAGTGGGTGAGATGTTTTTCAACAAATTTTTTGAAAATAAAAAAAGTTTTGGAGTGAGATTTAAAATTAAGAAAGTAGAGAACAAATGGATTTGCAGTTAAAAATAGGAGAGGGAGTTATTAAATGGAGAGTTAGAGGTATTTGGGGAAAATAGAGGGAATATTTTGAGGAATTGTTAAAAGTTGATGAAGATAGGGAAGCTGTGATTTCGTGTATAGGGCAAGGAGGAACAACATCTTGTAGGAGTGAGGAAGAGCCAGTTGTGAGATGTGGGGGAAGTTCGTGAGGCAGTAGGTAAAATGAAAGGGGGTAAGGCAGCCGGATTGATGGGATAAAGATAGAAATGTTAAAAGCAGGTGGGGATATAGTTTTTGGAGTGGTTGGTGCAATTATTTAATAAATGTATGGAAGAGGGTAAGGTACCTAGGGATTGGCAGAGAGCATGCATAGTTCCTTTGTATAAAGGCAAAGGGGATAAAAGAGAGTGCAAAAATTATAGGGGGATAAGTCTGTTGAGTATACCTGGCAAAGTGTATGGTAGAGTTATTATTGAAAGAATTAAGAGTAAGACGGAGAATAGGATAGCAGATGAACAAGGAGGCTTTAGGAAAGGTAGGGTGTGTGTGGACCAGGTGTTTACAGTGAAACATATAAGTGAACAGTATTTAGATAAGGCTAAAGAGGTCTTTGTGGCATTCATGGATTTGGAAAAGGCGTATGACAGGGTGGATAGGGGGGCAATGTGGCAGATGTTGCAGGTGTATGGTGTAGGAGGTAGGTTACTGAAAGCAGTGAAGAGTTTTTTACGAGGATAGTGAGGCTCAAGTTAGAGTATGTAGGAAAGAGGGAAATTATTTCCCAGTAAAAGTAGGCCTTAGACAAGGATGTGTGATGTCACCGTGGTTGTTTAATATATTTATAGATGGGGTTGTAAGAGAAGTAAATGCGAGGGTCTTGGCAAGAGGCGTGGAGTTAAAAGATAAAGAATCACACATAAAGTGGGAGTTGTCACAGTTGCTCTTTGCTGATGACACTGTGCTCTTGGGAGATTCTGAAGAGAAGTTGCAGAGATTGGTGGATGAATTTGGTAGGGTGTGCAAAAGAAGAAAATACAGGAAAGAGTAAGGTTATGAGGATAACAAAAAGATTAGGTGATGAAAGATTGGATATCAGATTGGAGGGAGAGAGTATGGAGGAGGTGAATGTATTCAGATATTTGGGAGTGGACGTGTCAGCGGATGGGTCTATGAAAGATGAGGTGAATCATAGAATTGATGAGGGGAAAAGGGTGAGTGGTGCACTTTGGAGTCTGTGGAGACAAAGAACTTTGTCCTTGGAGGCAAAGAGGGGAATGTATGAGAGTATAGTTTTACCAACGCTCTTATATGGGTGTGATGCATGGGTGATGAATGTTGCAGCGAGGAGAAGGCTGGAGGCATTGGAGATGTCATGTCTGAGAGCAATATGTGGTGTGAATATAATGCAGAGAATTCGTAGTTTGGAAGTTAGGAGGAGGTGCGGGATTACCAAAACTGTTGTCCAGAGGGCTGAGGAAGGGTTGTTGAGGTGGTTCGGACATGTGGAGAGAATGGAGCGAAACAGAATAACTTCAAGAGTGTATCAGTCTGTAGTGGAAGGAAGGCGGGGTAGGGGTCGGCCTAGGAAAGGTTGGAGGGAGGGGGTAAAGGAGGTTTTGTGTGCGAGTTGCTTGGACTTCCAGCAGGCATGCGTGAGCGTGTTTGATAGGAGTGAATGGAGACAAATGGTTTTTAATACTTGACGTGCTGTTGGAGTGTGAGCAAAGTAACATTTATGAAGGGGTTCAGGGAAACCGGCAGGCCGGACTTGAGTCCTGGAGATGGGAAGTACAGTGCCTGCACTCTGAAGGAGGGGTGTTAATGTTGCAGTTTAAAAACTGTAGTGTAAAGCACCCTTCTGGCAAGACAGTGATGGAGTGAATGATGGTGAAAGTTTTTCTTTTTCGGGCCACCCTGCCTTGGTGGGTATATATATATATATTATATATATATATATATATATATATATATATATATATATATAATATATATATATATATATTATATATATATATATATATGCAAAACAACCACTGTGAAAGAATAGCGAAATTCCAAGTACATTCGTGACTTCTCACATTATCAAGGAACTATGAAAAACAAAACATCAAAGGAAGGCATATATAGGGTCAAGACTAAACCTCACCATCACGCCACCATAACAACGCTACACTTCACAAATAGCTTGTCAACATTTTGAGCCCTAGTGTTTGAAAAATTTCTAACTCTAATGTTAAAAACAGTATAGATTTAGTTTATAAATTAAGCACCTTGACTGACTTAAATGATTTAACCATGGGAAGTTTTGATGTTATTTCCTTGTTTACAAAAGTTCCAACTGATGATTTAATACATTTCTTATCTGAAGAACTTGTTAATACTTGTTCCTACTATCATTTACTTACTAAACTTTGCATTGTTGACTCAAAATTTGTATTTTATACTCAGATGGTGGGTATGGCAAAGGGAAATCCTCTTTCACCTGTTCTTAGTATCTTATAAATGGAATTTTTTAAACAAGATTGCTTAACACAATCCTTCCTAACAGAGCTAAGTCGTTTATATATGTTGATGATATTTTGTGTCATATATCTAAGAATGTCGAAATAAACCATTTCCTTGTTAAATTAAATAACTTAGCTCATTCTATAAACTTTACTCTTGAGTTCAAAGCAAATAACTCAATGCTTTTTCTAGATGTTTTAATTATTAAGGGTATCAATGATTTTAATTTTAAAATTTACAGAAAACCTACAAATAACTGTTCATATGTAACTATCATTCTTCACATCATGAGAGAGCCAGACTGTCGGTTTTCTCATCAATGTTTTTGAGAGCTTTGCGTATTTGTAGTTCTGAGTTCATAAATGAAGAAATATCAGAAATTTATGAACTAGCTGATGATCTAAAATACCCAAGAATAATTGATAAATCTTCTAAAGCTGCTAGAAATACTTTTTTACAATCCGAAATGGGACAATCAACCTTATTCAGCTAAAAATATGTTGGTTCTCCCTTACCATGAAAACTTGGTTGATATGCCCTCTCTTCTTAAGACTTTTAGTATCAAAGTTATATTAAAAAATCTTCATACAGTGAAAAGACTCTTGATAAAGAATTCTCCCCAAAATTCTGACGGATGTATGGATAAGATTCCTTGTAAAATTTGCGATAAAGTTTATTGTGGTCAAACTGTAAAAAGTCTTGAACTAAAATTAAAAGAACATAAATATAGCATTAGAACTGGACAAGATTCTAATGCTCTATTTATTCATATGAGAGATTTTAACCATCAAATTGCTTTCAAAAGACTGAGAAGGTTGTATCAAGCAAATCTATGGTTGACAGATATATAAGTGAATCATGTTTCATAAAAAGCAGTTCTGAAAATAACATGAATATTTCCTTTGGTATATATAAATTGGATTCATCTATAATTAATAAAATTTTAACAGAATTTAATGATACATTTGATAAGTAATAAATGTTAATTCTTCGGTAGAGTATTAGGTGGGTTTCACTGAGTCGGGTGTTGTCCCGCGTGTGTGAGGTGTTGCTTTGTTGTGGTGACGTGATGGAGAGGTGCAGTCGTGGCCCTTTATATGCTTTCATTTGATGTTTTCTTTTTTATAGTTCCTTGATAATTTTAGAAGTCACGAAAGAGCTTCGAATTTCGCTATTCTTTCCCAACAGTGATTTTTTTAATATATATATAATATAAATATATATATAATATATATATATATATATAAAATATATATATATTTTTAAAAAAATATATATATATATATATATATATATATTTTAATATATATATAAAATTTTATATAAAAAATATATAAATATATATATTATTATATAAAATTCATTTTTTTCTCTCCATTAACGAGTGTTGTCCCTAAACCCGTTAAATATACTGTTGCAAATACGGATATGATGTACATATTATAACTTGCAAGACGAAACTGCCCAGTCTATTATATTGCTTTGTAATTCATGTAACTCACTCAACTCAATAGACTGGATGAACACAATTTAGGTTATTAAAAACTAAACTCGTAATTATTCTGCAAATTTTTAACTTGAAATGACACTTATTACGTATTCATATATTTTCATATTTGCTTGCTTTGATTCATCTGCTAATTTGCGTTAATTTCACTGAGTCTCCAAGATAAACAGTTGAAGTACTTATATTACTTTTTACCATTGCGATAATGATTAAGTTATTTGCCACTCCTAGAAATCATCTCATCCTGCAGAATAAGGACCCGACATCCAAGCTTCCAGTGATGGTGTGGATTCACGGTGGTGGATTCTACTCTGGGGGAGCATCTGAGTACCTGCCACATGTTCTCCTCAATCATGATGTGGTATTGGTGGTTATCCAGTACAGACTAGGGGTTTTCGGTAAGTGATTATAAGAACGTTAGGAAGAAGGAGCACTACAGTAGTCCTACTGCCCCTAGCTGGCTAGATCCAACTCACACTCCCCTCCACCCACTCATGTATTTGTCAAACCTACACAACGTTTTAGTTTCAGTGACGTTACTCGGGAGTTTGTTCCACTCACCCACATCTCTAGTTTTACCAGTTTGGCGTTTTTCTATATCCTTTGTAAAACTAAATTTTTGCAGCTTGAACACATTACAGCGAGTCCTGTTTTTCTTAGATATTTTATGCATATTATCAATGGTCAACAATTTTTGAAAAGTTGTTTGCCTCTTAATAGAGATTAGTTAATTCTTATGTTTTTTCATGTCATAAATCCAAATATCACCTTGAAAAATGCTTATTGGCTATAGGTTCAAAGATACGAGACATGTAATATTTCATTATTTTATTATAACGTACAATATGTGTCAGTATGTTTTGAACCCTAATCCGTACCTACTACTGCATTTATGCTTGAGGCTTATAGTGTGCTTATTGGGCTGAAGAATCATCTTTTACCAATGTCCAGCAATAGTCTGCAAGCATTCTTATGCCCCATTTCCCCTGGTACCATTATTCCATGGTTGAAATATTTTGGTGAAACCTTTGACCATGTTCGTCACTAATTGCCCTACAGTTCGCTGGAAAAAAGGCTAAATGTGATTTTAAGTGACATGTTTCATCCCATGTTCTTATAAGCCTTGATGAGGTTTTCCACCAATTCTTTATAGTTGCCTTCCCTTCTGTTTCCGATAAATCCCTTCGTCACTAACTTGAATGCTTCCCAAGCAGCTTTCTCCTCCCCATGAAGGTCTGATTCAAAGTCACCATCTTCAAGAAGCTCTCGAATCTGAGGACCATTGAAGACTCCCTCTCTTATCTTAGCTTCGCTCAGTGAGGGGAATTTTGATGCTAAATACTTGAATCTTCCTGTTCAACCAGTGGTGAAGGATAGTAGCACAGTTGTTGCAGCATATGTGTGGAATCCAGTTCTTATCCTGGTCACCAATCTTGCATCCAAAATATATGTGATATGCCTTTCTAACCATAGCAGTTATACGGAGCTTCTGTGATGCAAAGGTTACCTCACCACAAATGTAGAAGTTATCTTCCCTATTCACACAAGTAAGAGGCATCTGAAAGAAGAAAACAACAGACAATTAGAATATAAACAGAAAATTTATTTATTATTTTATCTTTATAATACAGAGCATGACAGCTAAGCAGAAGTATTTATATCATTTGGTTGGAAAATAAAATTAATATAATATGCCTGACGTGCATATCAATAGCTTACTTAGTGAATATTTATTATAAATTTAAAGAGTGTTTGGCTAAGAAAATCACCTATATTTCACCTCCGAATATAAACTTACACATCCCAATTACCTTCTGTGACTGCTGGAACAATAATGAAGGTCAGTGAGACAGTGAGTGGTAAGAAACACAGCCACAAGCCTGTTGGAACCTGTTGTGACACGTAGGTGTATATTGAAAACTAGAGCTAATAAGCAATTTTAACCATGATGTTCGTTGTCAGTGACCTAAAATTAGTTGAAAATTGCTTCTCTGGTCTCAGATGCATTTTGGTTGTTGACCAGTGAATTATTTATATCCCCTTCATTTACTCCTATTTTCCATTTATACACCTCAGTTATATTATGCCCAATTCTACGCAGATACAGGGCTCTCAGTCAGTCCCCATAGGAATGATGTCTGATTCATGAGATCAACTTTGTCAGCCTTCTTTGTACGTTTTCCTGCGCATTTATACCTATTCTGTGCAACATAATCTAAATGAGACCTAACCATAGATATATTGAGTTGAAGAATAACCTGAAGACTCCTGTTAACTATACTTCTTAATAAGAAGCCAAGAATTCTGTTCACTTTATTGCTAACACTTATGTGCTGTTGTCTTCGATTAAGATTGCTGATAACCAGAATTCCTAAATCTTATTTAGCAATCAGTGCCAATAAGATCTACAATATTTAGTTTATAAGTGTTATGGTTATTATCTTTTCCAATGCCTAGAACTGTGCAATTGTCTATATTTAACTGCATCTGAAACTTCTCCGACCACTGCATCAATTAATTCTGTACTGTTCTAGTGTCCTCGTCAGAAATCTGGTGTCGTCGGCAAACCTGCTTATGTTACTGTTTATTCCCTCATTTATGTCGTTTATATAAATTGTGAACAACAGAGGGCACAACACTAACCCTTGTGGAATACCGCTTGTGATGCACATCCACTCTGATTTCTCCCTGTTTATGGAAATTCTCTGTTGCTTATCAGTTAAATAGATTCCATCAATTTTCCCTCAGTGGAGGTTAGGCCCATTAGCGTGTTATTCGACGCTTACGACCTATCTCTTGCTTTATAATAAGAGATGTAACATATTTGCCGCTTTCCACTTATTTGTCACTATGCCAGTTTGCAGTAATAGGGTGAAAACATTAGCCAAAAATTTGCCATGTTCCTCCTTACATTCCTTTACAACCCTTTCGAACATTTCATCAGGGCCCGGGAATCTCTTAGGTTTTAATTATCTATTTTTCTAAGAATCATGTCACTAGTGTCTTTGATCGTGCATAACTTATGTTCATCCTGATCTGCATAATTTGTTATTTCTGGAATTTCACTAGCATCTTCCAGCGTAAATACTGAGGAAATAAGTGTTAAAGATTCTACACATTTCTTTTTCACCTGTTAGTGAGCTGACCTGTGTGCATAAGAACATAAGAAAGAAGAAACACTACAGCAGGCCTACTGGCCCATGCAAAGCAGATCCATGTCACCCCCAGGCTTAGACCAATAACCCACCTAGTCAGGTCACTTCCACTTAAGCAAGGAGCACGGCATGCAACCTAGTACCACAAGCAGGTCAGGCCCAAATCGCACCCATCCACACCCACTCATGTATTTAGCTAACCTATTTTTAAAACTTCATAACGTCATAGCTCCTATGACGGTACTCGGGAGTTCGTTCCACTCATCCACAACTTTATCCTTCCTTTATCCTTCCTGAATCTGAATTTTTCCAACTTGAAACCACTGCTGCGAATCCTACTTACACCCCCCGTATTTATTCCTGTTTTCTATTTATACACCTCAATCATATCCCCCTTAATTCTATGCCTTTCTAGAGAGCGCAGATTCAGGGTTCTCAGTCTATCCTCATATGGAAAATTTCTGATACATGGGATCAACTTTGTCATCTTCCTCTGTACGTTTCCCAGTGCATCAATATCCATTCTGTAATACGGTGACCAGAACTGTGCAGCATAATCTAAATGAGGCCTAACCAAGGATATATAGAGTTGAACAACCTGAGGACTTCTATTGTTTATACTACTTGATATGAAGCCGAAGATTCAGTTAACTTTATTGCAAACACGAATGCACTGTTGTCTTGGTTTTAGATTGCTGTTAACCTGAACTCCTAAATCCTTTTCGCAATCAGTAGTATTAAGATCTTAGATCTAAGTTATTTAGTTTATATGTAGCATGGTTATTTTCCTGTCCAACATTTAGAACTTGGCATTTGTCTATATTAAACTGCATCTGCCACTTCTCCGACCATTGCATCAGTCTATTCAAATCATCCTGGAGTGCCCTAATGTCCTCATTAGAATGAACTGGACTGCCTAGTTTGGTGTCACTAGCAAATTGCTAATGTCGCTATTTATTCCCTCATTTATGTTGTTTATGTAAATTGTGAACAACAATGGGCCCTGCAGAACACTGCTTGTAATATGCCCCCATTCTGATTTCTCTCCATTTATGCAAACTCTCCACTGCCTATTTGTGAACCATTCCTCTACCCAGGAAAAAAATTCTCATATTCCGTGTGCCTTAAGCTTCCTCAATAGCCTCTGATGTGGAAGTCTTATCAAAAGCCTTACTAAAGTCCATATACGCAATATCATATTCATTACCATGATCTACCTCCTCAAATACCTTAGTGAAAAAAAATTAGTAAATTCATAAGACAGGAACGCCCCTATGTAAAACTGTGTTGAGATTCATTAATCAATTTTTGCCTTTCAAGATGGCTACGAATTGTTTCGGCAATTATTGATTCCATAAATTTTCTCACTATGGAGGTAAGGCTTATTGATCTATAGTTCAAAGCTAAGAACCTGTCACCTGCCTTGTAAATAGGTATTACACTTGCCATTTTTCACTTATCAGGCATTATGCCATTTTGTAGTGATATATTGAAAAGATTAGCCAAAGGTTTGCTAAGTTCCTCTTTACATTCCTTTAAAACCCTTGCAAACAGTTCATCAGGGCCTGGGGATTTATTTGGCTTTAATTTCTCTATTTGTCTGAGGACCATGTCACTAGTTACCCCAATCGTGCATAGTTTATTATCGTACTGTTCTACATAATCTATTATTTCTGGAATTTTGCTAGTATATTCCTTGGTAAAAACTGAGAGGAAGTAAGTATGGAAAATTTCACACATTTACTTATCACTGTCAGTGGCCAGACCTGAGTTACTCTTAAGTGGGCCTATCTTGTCCCTAATCTTACTTTGAATCCATTGCGACCTTAGCCTCATAATCCCTCTTTGCTTTTCTTATTGTTTTTTTTATTTCTCTCTTCAATTGAATATATTGATTTCTTAACTGTCCATCCCCTCCTTTATGATACGCCTATACATGCCTCTCTTTTGACTAGTGAGAGGTTTTAATCTATTGCTCATCCATTTGGGATCACTTTTCTTTCATCACTTTCAGAACAAAAGTTGTCTGGGCAGCTAGAACTATGCTTTAAAAAACGTCATATTTTCAACCAACACCACCTACCTGACCCATAGTCAGGTTACCCCAATTTTGCTCACCCAGGTAATTTGTCAGTCCCATGAAATCGGCCAAGCGAAAGTCTGGGACAGAGATTTGATTGCAGTTATCAGTGTAATTCCATGATATATTGATTTGTGATCACTTTCCACAAGCTCATCATTAACCTCAAGATTATTAATTAGTGAATCTTTGTTGGCAAGAACAAAGTCAAGCAGATTGTTTCCTCTAGTTGGTTCTGTCACAAACTGTTTTAAAAAGCAATCCTGAACTGTATCACGAAAGTCAGTAGACTAAAGATTTCCTGATATATTGTTCCACCAATTTGTCTAAAGTTAAAATCTCCCATTAAGACAACATTTTCATCCCATAACAGCTTACTGCACTCCTTATCAAGGTTTGGGAGGGGGGCTATAAATTACACCCAAAATTAATTTTTCACTACCTTCGAAAAACTGTAGTCAAACATATGCTGTCCAATGTTTCTAACCTTACATCATGTCTAACACAACAATTAAAATTATCCCTGACATACATCGCCACTCAACCACCCTTCCTGTTCACCTTATCAGTGTAGAATAATTTATAATCCTGTACGTTGCATTCGGAAGGCATTTCTTTATCTTTTAAGTTGAAGCAGGTCTCTGTTATAGCAATAATATCTATATTGCCTGCACTAGCAAGTAATCTTAGCTTATCTCTCTTATTTCTTAGACTCCTATTTGTATAGTAAACTTTAAAGGGAGCTAGTCACTCGTTGCCCTCTTCTATCTCTCCTTTTCTTGTTGATCAATTGCTTTGCCTATCCAAGCAACGTTATTTTGAATATTGTCTTTCAAATCTATCCCTGAGGTATCCTGGTAATATCTGCTATTTTCAACCCTAATACTGCAGCCTGATTGTTTCCCACAAACACCCATACCTCTATAATCTATCAGTTTAAGGTCCTGGACAAGTCATCAATTACCCACTCAATGGAATTGGTTAATGTAACCTCTCCAGCCCCAGAGAGATGAACTCCACTGAAGTACACTCGTCCTGGAGAACAGAGAATCGATTTCCTACCTACACATCTTCTCTACTAACCTTCTTTATCTTCCTTCTTCCTGAATTGTGAGCCACTTGCCACTTAAAGTGGCTACCACTCTCACTGCTGGTGACCATTTCCTCCTTACCAGCTCCAGCCATCTCACACTCACTCACAAACCCATCTAGGCAAACCTTAAGCCTCCTATTTTCTTCCTGAAGAAATAGAACCTCCTTCTTCAACACTTTATGTATTCGCTTTTACATTTTAAGTTACAGGTGCAGAGCTCTGCTTGTGGCGTTCGGTCAGTGTTTAAAACGCACTGTTCATTCCCATGTGTTTTCCGGTGAAGAAACCATAATACTGTTGGTTAGACCAGTTTTGACTTAAAGTAGGAATATTTTTTTTTATTTCTTCAATCATTCGTCTGAAGGATGTCTTGTAGTTTGGTGTGTATCTGATGAGATTTTCCTGATTTCATGTGTTCTTACTGTGACAATGTTGATCCAGATTCATATTTCTCTGATGCCTTGAATCTCTCATCAGATCTATTATTTTCATATTTCCGATTTTCACTTTCACCCATAACTGTATGAATCGCTTTATTTAAATTACAACAAATTGGTGTAAAATTTGTCACATTCGCATACATTACGTGATCTTCATTAGACTGAATGATTCTACTGAATTTAATTTTAGATATCATGAAAAGAGTATATTCTAAACTTATTGCTTGATTCTGAAACAACTCTGATGCAAATTTAAGCATGTGTCAGTTAATTAAACACTTTTGAGTATGAGAAAGGGTATCATAGATGTGTACGGTGAATGAGTACATCACTTAATGAATTTTATCTCCATTTCTTAAAGGTATGAGCAAATATTAACTAAAATAAAAGGTTCGCAGTATTATATTTTGTTACAGTGGTTGCCCTAGAGTGCAACAATGTATACATTACATATACATTGTTATCTATGAATACCGAGGTAGCTCAGTATTCATGTGTACATTTTTGATCATTAAAGGTTTCCTCTCAACTGAAGACTCGGTGATTCCCGGCAACTTCGGCTTGAAGGATCAGACGCTGGCGCTGCAGTGGGTGCAGCGGAACATCCACAAATTTGGAGGAGACAAGACCAAAGTCACTATCTTCGGTGAGAGCGCCGGTGGTGCCTCCGTTCACTTCCAGATGCTCTCACCCAAGTCCGAAGGTGAGGAAGGAGAGAAAGTAAAGTGGTAAAGTGATAAGAAGTCTTGGGAAGAAACCAAAATAATAATGGCAAAGCATTAAGTTGGTAACATGATAGGAAGCTGCGTCATTTAAAGAAATGTTTCGAGGTAAGTCTTGACAAGATTTGAGGCTTTAATTTTTAACTCCTGGTTCCCCCCTACCAAAAAATTACCAGCGTTTGTGCATTTCTGCTTAAGCTGATTCTGCCGCCTATTCGAAGGCCACTTGAAAAAACAAGCAAATGTTTCCTTTGTGATCCAGAGTCAGGAGAGACTTTAATACTTCAGTATATGACTTTGTACTTCTCTGTAAAGTTTGTACTACAATATAAGACTTTTTCCTACACTATAAAATGTTAGTAGTGATGATTTCTACAGAGCGCACCCTTCCGGTTTAGGGCCTTCTACAGAGCGCACCCTTCCGGTCTAGGGCCAGCAGCTGGAGGGTCCCCTTTTCACACCTAGGTGTTACTTCCGGTTTCACCTTGACCTTGACCTCGCCCTCGAGTCCACCCCACCCTTGACCCCCCGCCCACGACCCCCCTTCGCGACCCCCCTTCGCGACCCCCCATCGCGCCGCGCGCCCGCACGCCCGCGCGCCCGCCCGCGCGCCCGCCCGCGCCCTTCGCGACCCCCGCCCGCGCCTTCAGCTGCGCCTTCTGCAGCGTCGTCCGGATCGCCCCCGCGCCTCGAATTTTTTTCCGATTTTTTTCGAATTTTTTTTGAATTTCATTTTTTTGTGCTCTCCATCTCCTCGGATCAAATTTTTAAGGTTCCCCCTCCCACTTTCACCCACCCCCCATTCCCCCTCCGACTTTCACCCCCCATCCCCAAAAATTTCTCGATAATACAAGTTTTTGGATTCCCCCCTATTGGGGTTTCGAAATTCTTATGATCTCCTCGGACCCCCCTCCCACTTTCACCCCCCAACCCCAAAAATTTCTTGATATCAAAGTCTCCACTTCCTCGAATCAAGTTTTTTGGATCCCCCCTATGGGGTTTTCGAAATTCTCCATCTCCTTGGATCAAGTTTTTTGGATTGTCCCTCCTTCCACCCCAACCCCCACCTCAAATTTTTCTCGATAATACAAGTTTGGATTCCCCCCTATGGGGGTTTTGAATTTCTTATGAGCTCCTCGGATCAAATTTTTGAGGTTCCCCCTCTCACTTTCACCCCCATCCCAAAATTTCTCGATAATACAAGTTTTGGATTCCCCCTTTTGGGGGTTTCGAAATTCTTATGAGCTCCTTGGATCAAGGTTTTTGGATCCCCCTCTGGGGGTAAGCATGCTTACTACAGGTCTAAACAAGTCAAATGACCTAAGAAGGGTGTTTACTCGGCGGTCAGTGACGTCACGCGCACACAGGTTGAATCAGGTCGAGCCTTTTAGTTCATTAAAGTTAATAAGGGGACATAGTAGTGACGTCACGCGCACACAGGTTGAATCATGTCGACCCTTTTAGTTCATTAAAGTTAATAAGGGGACATAGTACCTACATCATAGGGAAAACATTTCCACTCTTAACCCAATTTTTCTCGTTTTAAATATTTCATCAGAAAGTCACATTTTTTCGTTAATACCCACAATTTCTTTACAACACAAGTCTAGACATTTTTCTCGTTTTAACTATTTCATCTCAGGTCACTCCCCACGAAGTAACCTTCTCCCCACCCTCCCAAACCCTCACACTCCAACCAACACCTCACAATTTTCACTCATAACCCCAAATTTCTCTCGTTTTAACTATTTCATCAGAAAGTCACCACATCGCTTACATCCACTTTCGTTAAATTCACTAGTCACAATTTTACATATTACGAAGTTAAATACGCACTTTTACTTTGAACACCTTCAAAACTCTTTCATAAATCATTTGAATACTCACAAAAATACCTTTATACATTTCCAAACAACACTGAAATACTCCAAAAACATCATTCGAACACCCCCAAATCACCTCTGAATACTCCCAGAACACCTTCATAAGTACTCTTGCACATCATTTGAACACCTTCATAAGTACTCTCATAATCAATTGTACACCTTCAAAAACACCTTTGAATAACCTCAAAACACCCTTGAACACCTTCAAAACACTCTCATAAATCATTTGAATACTCACATAAACACCTTTGTACATTTCCAAACAACACTGAAATACTCCAAAAACATCATTCGAACACCCCCAAATCACCTCTGAATACTCCCAGAACACCTTCATAAGTACTCTTGCACATCATTTGAACACCTTCAAAAACACCTTTGAACATTTTCCAAACAACACTGAAACACTTCCAAAACACTATTTGAGTACTCCCAAATTACACCACTGAATACTACTAAAACAACACTGAATACACTCAAAACACCACCCAAATCACCATAAACTAAGATCAACACCCACAACACCCACAACCCACAACACCCACAACACCCACAATTTTTTCTCGTTTTATCTAATTTCATCAGAAAGTCACAACAACCCACAATTTTTTCTCGTTTTATCTAATTTCATCAGAAAGTCACAACAACCCACAACTTATAACCATTTTTCAGCATCTCTAGTTCGACAAACATCACCCACATCCCACACCACCCACAACCCACATCACCCACATCCCACATCCCCCACAACCCACATCACCCACACACCACAACACCCACAACCCACATCACCCACAACCCACATCACCCACAACAACCACAACCCACATTACCCACAACCCACAACACCCACAACCCACAATTTTTTCTCGTTTTAACTAATTTCATCAGAAAGTCACAACAACCCACAATTTTTTCTCGTTTTAACTAATTTCATTAGAAAAGTCACAACAACCCACAACACCCACAACACCCACAACCCACAACACCCACAACACCCACAACCCACAGCACCCACAACACCCACAACCCACAACACCCCACAACCCACAATTTTTTCTCGTTTTAACTAATTTCATCAGAAAAAGTCACAACAACCCACAACACCCACAACACCACAACCCACAACACCCACAAACCCACAACCCACAGCACCACAACTCCTACATCCCTAACACCCCAAATTTTTCTCGTTTTAATAATTTCATCAAAAAGTCACAAAAACAACCCACTTATATCATCTTTTTCGGTATCTCTAATTCGACTAAATTACCCACAACCCTCATCAATTACCAATTTATTCACATTTTTTCCCCTTCTTTTTACTGAATCTTAAAAGTAATACACATTCCTCCCTACAGTACTAAAATTCTAATAAAATCCTCTCCATACCCATCTCCTTGTATCCACATAAATCGATATTGTACTCGCATCAACTACCCAACTATTACCTGGAGTTTACCTGGAGAGAGTTTCGGGGGTCAACGCCCCCGCGGCCCGGTCTGTGACCAGGCCTCCTAATGGATCAGCGCCTGATCAACCAGGCTGTTGCTGCTGGCTGCACGCAAACCAACGTACGAGCCACAGCCCGGCTGATCAGGAACTGACTTTAGGTGCTTGTCCAGTGCCAGCTTGAAGACTGCCAGGGGTCTGTTGGTAATCCCCCTTATGTGTGCTGGGAGGCAGTTGAACAGTCTCGGGCCCCTGACACTTATTTTATGGTCTCTTAACGTGCTAGTGACACCCCTGCTTTTCATTGGGGGGATGGTGCATCGTCTGCCAAGTCTTTTGCTTTCGTAGTGAGTGATTTTCGTGTGCAAGTTCGGTACTAGTCCCTCTAGGATTTTCCAGGTGTATATAATCATGTATCTCTCCCTCCTGCGTTCCAGGGAATACAGGTTTAGAAACCTCAAGCGCTCCCAGTAATTGAGGTGTTTTATCTCCGTTATGCGCGCCGTGAAAGTTCTCTGTACATTTTCTAGGTCGGCAATTTCACCTGCCTTGAAAGGTGCTGTTAGAGTGCAGCAATGCGACAAGTTTCAACACCCCTCCATTCTTTTTTCCAATATATCATAACTTTTCAATTCTATAATTTCTTTTTAAAATATTCACACATTTACCTTTTATTTTCAGTAAAATCTCCCCATATTTCTAATTACAACGCTCCCCATACCCCTCTCCATCTCACCCGCATTTTCTTCACATCCACTCACCCATCTCCCAACACACCTCTTCAGAACACACACAAAAATCACATTTCACATCCACAAATGCATCTCAAATCCACTAAAATCACTATAATCAAGATATTCACAAAACTCTATGACCACCTAACACACACACACACACACACACACACACACACACACACACACACACACACACACACACACACCACACAACACACACACACACACACACATACACACACACAAACACACACACACACACTCACACACAGACACACACACACACCTAACCTATCCTAACCTAACCTAACCTAACCTAACCTAACCTAACCTACCCTAACCTTAACCCAACCTAACTTAACCTAACCTAACCTAACCTTACCTAACCTAACCTAACCTAACCTAACCTAACCTTACCTAACCTAACCTAACCTAACCTAACCTAACCTAACCTATCCTATCCTAACCTAACCTAACCTTACCTAACCTAACCTAACCTAACCTAACATTACCTAACCTAACCTAACCTATCCTAACCTAACCTAGCCTAACCTAACCTATCCTAACCTAACCTAACCTAACCTTACCTAACCTATCCTAACCTAACCTAACCTAACCTTACCCAACCTAACCTAACCTAACCTAACATTACCTAACCTAACCTAACTTATCCTAACCTAACCTAACCTAACCTAACTTAACCTAACCTAACCTAACCTAACCTAGCATAACCTAACCTAACTTAACCTAACCTATCCTAGCCTAACCTATCCTAACCTAACCTAACCTAACAATACCTAACCTATCCTAACCTAACCTAACCTAACCTAACCTAACCTAAAATATATTGGAACACTTCCAAAATACATTAGAGTACTCCAGAATTACTTTGAACGACTCCATTTT